GTCTCACTGTGTGTGTGTGTGTGAGAGAGAGAGAGAGAGAAGAGATGTGGAGGCGGCGATTGAAGGCTGACAGAGGAAGAGATAAGTAAATTAGGGCTTTAAGCCTTTTACTAGGACTGGAGTATTTGGACTGGAGTATATGTGTGTGTATATATATATCAAGAGGGTACTGGATGTAATGGGATTTTTAAACCTTTCTCCTATTCCTGCCCTATGTCCTCGCCTATGAAATCGGGCATTTAGAGACAAGTAAATTTTTCAACAGATTCTCTAGCCTCTATTTGTCTATTTCATTTATATATTTAACGGGTAGAGTGAGGACGGGGCAGGGCAGGGGTGGGGCGGGGATAAGGGTATGCTCCTCACACGGGTCCAAATAGAACGGATTTGAATGAATACCCGTTTTTTCCCGATCATTATCATTCCTAATTGCAACCCCCCATTATAGTCTAAATAGTCTGTACTAACCAGCAGTGTTGTATACACTTGTAATCATTGTTATCAGAATCGGATCAGATCAGTCGGTTAGACTAGTGCACCGGAACCTTCAACGGTTCGATTTACTAGAAAGATCGTTTGGTAATCGAACCGTTAAAGAACCGAAAAATTGGTCAGTTTAAACTAAAAATCAGTGAACTAAAAATTAAAAAACTGGCTGGTTTAAAACCAACATTCGTCTTCAGTTGGACCCATCTCATAAGAATCCCAAATTTCTATCTCTACAATTCCCAATGAAGAATTATCAACCATGAGTGAGTCACTCATAAGTGACCCAAATTAGCTCGAGGACAAAGATCAATAACCCTTTGTCTCAGACAAAGTAGTTCAACAAATCGAAGAAAGTTCTTCTTCGTCTTCTGCAGATCTCGAATGGCGGCACACGACACCCCTCCTCTTCCCCGTCTTCTCCAGATCGAGCTCTCGAACAGCAGATTGACACCATAGATCTAGATCTCGAAGTCTCGAAACTTCTTCAGTTCTTCTTCTTCCTCTTCTCTCTCTCTCTCTCTCTCTCTCTCCACACAAACACACTCAGAGCCATAGTTAGCAATAGAGTAAAGAGATGTTGGGTTTTGATCAAAAAAAAGAGATGTTGATCTTCTCTGTTTCACTTTCTCTCTCTGTCTACATGCGCAGAGTCTATGAAATATAAATATAGATATATTTTTATACACACTCAATAACACACAATACATTATAATACACAACACACAATATACTATTTATTTTTCAGTTTGATTGAGAATTTTTTAATTACATTAGTATCTTTTATATATATATTTATTTTTTTATTATACGATCAGTCGATCCAACGATTGAATCGGTGAATCATTGATCCAATCCCTCTGTCGAGTTGATATCCAGTCCGATTCTAACAACACTGCCCGTAGTAGATGTAGCTACTGTTTCGTGTGTTTAGGCTTAGTAACCCAACGTAGACAATACCCAAATAAAAGAAAGATGCGGTCTCCATACCTTAGGCTAGGACTTAAGAATAATTAATTTTGATATGACACACTAATCTGATACGAATTCAACATGAATTTATGGATTAGTGTTTACCAGTTCTAGACAAGAAGCGAAAATTGCACGACAGGAAAATACAAATAATACATGCAGCAGACTAGTGTCAAATAAGAATAGCTTTATGTAGATATCATACACACAGAATGAAAAGTGTGTATGATGTTTACATTTTTAGAAGTGGTATTGTTTGCATCTTCAAAAAGTTGTATTTTTTAGGATGGATCTTAATATTTTAATATTGTTTCTAACTTTTTTGGTTATAACTAAACCCAAAAACTCCTACATTTATCCGCAATAGTAATAAACTTTAGTACCACCAGAGTTAGTGGCATAGTGTAAGTTGTATCTGTATAGGGTCATTGTTTACTCTCATATGATTATCAAATAAGGTTCGATTCACAGGAGTAACACGGTTTGCTACTTGATTTTAGTGGTACTGTGGTGGTAGACTGCCCTTTCTATAATTCAAACCAAACATTTCATGGTGAGAGATCCTCATGGTCACGTCCAATGTGAGTTACTACCTAGTGGTCGGCCCTCCTCCCTTTTTTAATAGAAAAATAAAGTAATAATCTTGAGTATCATACTTGTTTTGATACTTAACTCAAATCCTTTAGCTAGAATGAGTTTTTAAATCACGAAAAACATACATATAATGATTAAGAAAAAATGATCATAGTTCTAAATTTTTAGTTTACTATGAACTGACATGAAACTAATACGACTAATCAACAAGTTGAATACGTGTTAGATTATATGATGCCAATTATTTAAATAGGTTGAATTTAATATGAAGTATACGACAATAGAACACTATAAAACTCAGACTCAAAAACCGAAAAAACTTTGGTTACAGCCTCTAGAATCAGGGGGCATATCATCCTATGGGCTCCACAAAGGTGAAGTAGAATCAAACCTAGCTGATAAGAGGTCGATTTCACAGATAGAAACCGATTACCCTGATTATGCAGCCTTACTAATCACCCAAACGGGTAACGCACGAACCTAACAAAGATATATATTATAATACAATTTATGATATGGACTTAATACCAACTCTCACAGAAGGTTGCTCCAAAATACTATTATCATCACCGACGAACCATAATTAAAATAAAATAAAATAAAAAACCATTCTGGCAGATAGCTCTGACGCATTATTATTATCCAGAAGTCTTGATGTAACTTTATAAATGTATTCTTTATGTGTACTCATCAAGTTTTGACAAAATGGTGAGTACCTTATCTAGGACTAATGAAATTTGAGGATTGAACCTTGACAAAGCGAAATGTGTATGTGGTAAAATTAGGCTTCCAACTTGAATTTGATTTTGACAAGTTGCTCGTATTTCATCCGTTTTCTTATACAAGGTGACCACTCATATATAGACCTTGCACATAAATTCGACTTTCACTAGTTTGTTGTATTTCTTTCATTTTTTTATTTGAGATAAATTGACGTGCATAAAAAATTAATAAAAACACACACACATATCCTTTGTGGACATGTTATGGAGTAGAACTATAGTAGGGTTTTGATTGCTACGACTTTTGACATTGTTAAAGTTGGACTCTTGAACACATGGTTAGGTGGGTAAGCTGGAAAAATGACAAGGAAGAATTTCTCTTAACTTTTTTCTTGTCTATGGCGTGTGAGAACCTCAAGTATTCTAAAGGAGTTATTATGTTTGGTTGCCCCAAACCACCTTTTTTAAACACCTAAAAAAAAATTTCGGGTATAGATATTCAAGATGAATATATTTTGGATATAGAAATAAATACGTATATCAATATTTGTAAAATTTAATTGTTATCGTTTTCTATCAAATTCAAATATAATGATGCAAAAACAAATTCCATATGACTTTGAACATAGGTGTTTTTTAGTATTGTCTGATTATCACATATCAAAAGGACATAAAATAGATTAATTACACCATATCTCTTTGCAACAAGTTCTTCTAAACAAATCAGCTACTTATATGCTGATTTTTATTTTTTAAATTAGACACATTCATTTTGTGGATATACTATTATTTTTTTTTTGGCCTGAGTGGATATACTATGATTAAACAATCTATGCTTACTTAAAAGTAAAATTTTATTAATTTTAAATGGCTATTAAATAAATCGCTAGAAATTGAAAACTAATAATTTTAATATAGTAAAAATATAAAAATATTAGTTATCGTCCATACTTGAAGACATGAAATAATAATAAAAAATTGTCAATCACAAACATATTTGTATTCACACCCAAAATCAAATTACAAATATAAAAAAAAGAAAAAAGAGAAAAAAGAATTTAAGTACTGGTTATAGTGTGGGTGAGCAGGAATATTGGTGGTGGGCAACAATAGTTGTGGTGGGGGGGGGGAGACGATGATGGTTGTAGTGGATTGCGTGACCGTCGTGATAATGACAATCATGGTTGACAATTGTGATGGTGGTGGTATGTTTTGGGTGACGTTGGTAATAGTGATAGTCATGGGTTGCGGCGGAGGTGGTGGGCGACAGTGATAATGGTTGGCAGTGGTGTTGGTGGGACAACGATGATGGTAATATGTGTGAGTGATGGTGGGTGACGACAGGTGCTTGTGGGTAACGGTTGTTGTGGTAGGTGTGGCGTGGGTGGATGATAGTGGATGGTGGTGGTGGCGGTGTTAGTGGTGGCGGTGGTGCAATGGCAGTAGGGAGATAACAATGGTGGTGGTGGTGACGACAACAGTGGCAATGGTGAAGTATTTTGTAGAGAAATGATTTTAAAGAAGTATAAATTTTTTTGGTACTTACTTATTTATTTAAGTGGTAAAACTATTTTTGACTTATTTGGAAATAATTTAAATTAATTGTTTCAAACACTATTTTTTTAAAAGTGTTTATGAGAAGTTATAAATACTAGAAATACTTTTGAAAAATCGCCTCAAATGCACTTTTAACAGACCTATTATAACTATTAAATTTGAAGAGTTAATATTAACTATCAGATTAACTTTAAAATAAAATTTAAAACAATTTTAATCACAAAAAATAAAAATTATTTTTTATGTCTTCAATATTTATATTTTATTATAAAGATATTTATTCTAAACGTATTTTGGCTATAACCGTATCTTATTTTTTAAAGCTTTGTCATATTATCTCATATCCGTTTCTGTGGGTAGGAAATCTTTGTATCCCCTTTATTTGAGAAACATAAGGTCCACAGTTTGCAGTCAGCTACGCATGTAATCTGTATAAACATCATATACTGTTCACAATAGTAAGACGTGATACCATAAACCTTCCTGAGATGAACCAAACATATCAATGTCTTCCACCAAACCATGACAAAGAAATTTCATGTTTACTTGTTAACAACGCTACACCACCAACACCAATAATATACTAGAAAATTTGCAGTTCACAAGAATAATATCATCTTCAACAATAAATCTTTGTAAACCTTCCTCAATCCTCACCCACCCCCTCCCATGGCGTCTTCAATGGCCATTAAGCACAGAAAGCTTTTTCCAACTTCAACAACGAACGAAACCCTAGTCTGTCCTGATGTTTGTGACCCAATATGTCCCTATGGTTGTAACCCAGGGCCAGAGCCAGACTTCTATTTCCTGCCGCCACCACCACCGCCATCACTGTTAGCCAACCAAGGCCACCACGTTTCACCATATGTGATCATCATAGTGACCTTGCTAGCCAGCCTTTTCCTTATGGTCAGCTACTACGTGATCATTATGAAGCACTGTCGAGGTTGGAACCCTTTTAGGCGGCCGGAACCTGATGAAGAGTTTCTTGATGAAAATCGTGGACCTGCAATTGAACACCCCATCTGGTACATCACCACCGTTGGTCTTCAACCATCAGTCATCAATTCAATCACAGTCTTCAAGTACAAGAAAGGTGATAGTTTGGTGGAAGGGACCGATTGTTCCGTCTGCTTGAATGAGTTTCAGGATGATGAGACTCTTCGTTTGCTACCCAAGTGTAATCATGCATTTCACATACCTTGTATTGATACTTGGTTGAGGTCTCACACCAACTGCCCCTTGTGTCGTGCCGGGATTGTATCTAACACTGTGAGTACTACTCCTTTGGTCCCAAATAATCAGAATTCTAATAGTCTGAGTCTAAACGAAGAGACCCAAATAGAGAATTCAGAGAGTGATGGTGAATTGCATGGCAATCAGGTCACTGTTGTTGAGTTTTGTGAAAACAGGGCAGGAACAGAGGATGAAATTGAATTTTCACAGGTTGGTGATGAAACCAAAGATATTGAAAACCCAAAAGCAGATTTCAATTCCAATGGGAACACTTCAATTTGGGCAACTGGCGATTCGGGTGATAATAGCATGATTGTTGGGGATGAGATACAAGCAATGAGAAGGTCTATTTCACTCGATTCGGTTACGGCTGCAAATATTGGTCTTGTTGTGACCACCACTGGTATGGCAGATTCCGAAGAGAATTCAGTTGATTCAAGATTGGATATTCAAAAGTTTGAAACTGCCAGTCGAGATGGTAGAAATTCAAGGATGTTTAGATTGATGGCTGGTTCAGGTTCTTCATTTGTAGAGTCTCTGCATAAGAGTCCTGTTTCAATGAAGAGATCATTTTCATACAGTGGGAGGCCATTCTTATTGAGACACAGTCGGAGCTTCAAGCCAATTCTTCCATTGTAAAGCTTTTAGATTACTGTGTTTTTTTCAGTTGTCCTGGTCAGAAGCTATAGATTGATATGTCTATCGCACTCTGAACTAGAAAGAGAGTTCTCTGGATACATGTGCCTACAAACCAGCAGACATTTGAAGCCATAAAAGACCCTCTATAAGATCAAAGAAGGTTAAGTGAGAGCTCTGAAAAGTTTCTGATTTGAAGGAATAAAAGTCGTTCCAATGGTAGCGATTTCGGGTTTCCGAGGGAGAATCAAGTTTCTGTATCAAACAGATTTTGCAGTGCAGGACTCTGATAACAGGTATATGAGTTTCAATCCTGCACTGTTTTTGATTTAATTCTTGTTATCTGGGTATGTAAAAATTACCCCTCAAAGTAAATAACAAGGTTTGAGAAATGACATTTTTGTGTAGAAAAAACCTTGAACTGGCACAATATCGCATAGTGGCCACCTTTAAAAAACTTGTGTGAATGACGTTTTCTTCTTTGCCCACTCCTCTCCAAAGGCCAAGGGAGAGACGACATCCCTTTCCTTCGGCAGCTCTTTTGCTCTCCAAAAATAGGGGTAGTTGGGGTAAAACCCGCTTTCTCCACTCCGCGAATGAGAGAGAAAATCAGAGGAAAAAACATGTTCTTTCTTTGCGAGATTTGAAAAGTTGTTGCTAACACCATATTCTTCCTAGTGTATACAGCTTGAATCTATGCTAACTAGAATATTTTTCAGTACATTGCAAGTCTTGGTACATACGGGACTAGATAAAGTATAATGTTGAATCATGTCTGAGATTATGGTAAATTAAGAACAAATAAGTTTATTTCTTTTTGGCTTCAAACTGGTTTATTTGAATCAAAGCTGGTCACATGTCTGAGAATACGGTAAGGGCTCACTTCAGCCAACAAGTTGCGGGTTTAAACCTCATCACAGTCGGCTCAAAAAAACAGTCCTAGTCCTAGTTCATGAAATCACCTAGCAATCACTTTCAATTGAAGGGGAGAATTTTTGTTTCTGTGGAATTTTAGCTGGCAAAGTCCAGATTCATTAGGATTCGGTGAGAGAATTTTCCTTTACGTGCAAGACAGGCATTGGTCTACCGGAAAAAGTTCTCCCCATCATTTTCACAGAAGTTGAATTCTCCACAGCTTGAGTCAGCTTTGGATAACCATCAGTCTTTGGAGTCAAGGCTGCAACACAAACTCGGATGCATGCACCACAATCATATGCATCTGTTAAAAAAAAAAATGAGTTTTACGGATTCAACCTCAGAACGCCCTTTATTCGATCACTGAATCAATCGGTGTGTGTGTCAACTTGAAGCATTTTTAGTCACATCTGCTATGTGGATTAGTTATGTGTCAAAGTTTTTTTTTTTTCGGTAAGTATATTTGTCAAAGTTACTTTCTCATTTTCTTTCAACTACTGCACTCTTTATAAAGACTTTGATAATGAATCCCAGATAAAGCCCTTTTGGCCACATCTCTCTTCATACAAGATCTGCCATATCTCCACCAAAATAATAACTTAGTTTCCCATTGTGTTGTATTAAAAAAAGATTTTGTTGGCTAAGGTAGTGGTGGTGTTCCTATCTCTGCTCAAGGAATTCTTCTTGTTGGGAGGTCATGATACATCGTGAGCTTCTCTTGAACAATTATAACTTATTCTTTATGAGTTATAACTTGACTTTTAATAGTTATAACTTAATCTTTAAAAGTTGTAACTTTGTTATCAATCTCAATCTTCCATGATCGATCATAACTTTTATAAGTTATAACTTACACTTTAAAAAAGTTGTAACTTAACCTTAAAGAATTATAAATTCCAGTACTGTCCTACTAATGATACTGTAATCTTTTGGAATCCCTATATATCTTCGTTATACACCAGAAATCCTCCAATACGTTTTTCATTTAATTTTTTTCTTTGCAAATTATTGATGGATAATGAGCGAGAATTATTTTTTTTAAGCGTATGTTTCAACTATCTAAAAAGGAAGAGACCAAAATTTTCTACCAGCTAAATAGGAAAAACTTAAGAGGGAAAAAAAAAAGGGAATCGTTTTCTTATGATGAAGATTTGAACAAGTTACCCCTCCCCCCCTCTTTTTTCTGTCTTTCGTGTAGCGGCTATATTTTGTCAAAATTGATGTTTCTTGACAATAATAATCTAAATTAAGGTTAACAAAGTACAAACCCTGTGACTAGTAAATATCTATTTACCGCCTTATGGTGGTCTTCATGTTTGAGCCGCTATCATATGAGTAAATTAATGTAATGATTACACTATATTAATAGCGTTACGTGATATAATTATTTAATATTTTTTTAAAATCTTAAAAAAGAAACAAAGTAAACTTTATTTAGTTATTGAATTAATTGACGGGTGATTATTAATGTATGGTGACATTAATTGACACTGTTGATATAATGTGACAGTGTTAAATGTTACATGGATTTAAAAAGTAGACTTGATAATCTCAATCATTGATTTTATTGTGGATCTCAGCATTTATTGGGACTCACTACCTATTCAATGATTGATATTATCAAATCTATTTTTTAAATTCACGAAGCATTACTCTTTAACATTTTCTCTTTGTCACACAAATATCTCGTAGTCGTCTTTTTACCTAACCCAAATTTTCTTGGGCCAAACAACTACCATAAAACTGTCTCCAAGGTCAGGCCCTTTTCCAATTGGTAGGAGTTCTCTTCAAGCAAAAGATTAGCGGGGTTTGATTGAATGCTGTGCTTGTAATCGGGAACTAATCAATCACAAGCCAAACACCACCAAAAACCCACTAGCCATTATAAGTCAATTCAAATTGCGTGAGCACTCTTCCGTTTTTAAAGATGAATTTCAATTCCAAAACATAATCAGAATTTGAATTCCAACCGTTTAGTCGAGTTCAAAAATGTCAGGTCAGATTTGTATTCCAATTAGATTCAGTTGAATTGAGTTGAGATGAATCTATTTTTTTTTTTTTTTGTTGCTATTGGGAAAAAAAAGTTAAGGCCAAAGGAGAGAGGATAGAGACTACGTTGATAGACTCTCATTGGTGTAATTATGAGGTCCTTAATCACGCTTGTTACTTTTTTTGAAAATAAAATTAGTTAGGTTAACATAACAATTAATTACCGTGCCCTAATTTAGACTTTAAGATTCAAACTTTCAACCTCAAAATAAAAAATTTGATTAATACTTCATTAAATCACCCCACTCTCGGTGGTAGTTGAATTCATTGTTCCCAATTAGACCCCTTAGTGCCACCACTGTTGGGTTCCATGCAAGAGCTACCGCAAGTTTTTTTTTTAATCTTTAAAGATAACTAAAAAGTAAATATTATTTAAATGTTATTTAATATTTAAAACTCACAATTAATTACTTTTCTTAATTAGATCACTAGTGTTGTTCTAATTATACTAATAGATCTTTGATCTAATAATATTTTTTATCTTGTAAAAATTTTATCTATTTGATGTGAAAGATTCAAATCTTTCTCTCTTCCCTTTTTTCCTTCCTCCATAAAGGAAAAGAAAAAAAAATAGTGTTGTTCTAATTAAAAAAAAAAAAGAAAGAAAAGTACGGAAGGTTTAATGGGTCATGAGAGCTTAGGACCACGAAAAAGCATAATTCCTTTTAGTACCTCCTCTGATCTCTACTTGAAACTTTAAGTCTATTCATTGGGTCACGGACATTTCTCTTTTAGTCTTAATGAGTGAGCTCTATGACAACTCCCGAAAGCACAAACATACAATGAAATGATGATTTCCCAAAACTAATAATTAGAGGAGTTGTCGATGGTATCAAAAAAAATTAATATTGTGTCTTCTATTGTTATAAATTTTTTTATCATTGTTATGATGTTAAAAAATAATAAAATAATTATAATAAGTAAAAATACTTATAAATATATATATATAAACTAATAAAAGTGATAATTTTTTTTATATCAAAATAAAGTGATACAAATATTCACTAATACGATAAATTATTCATTAAAATGACAATTTTTTTAGAGATACAAAATATTTTTTCTTTGTACCATAACCAAATCCTAAGAGTTAAAAAGAAAAAAAAATCAAAGGACGTTTTGGAATAGCGTGCCATTCATGGGGGTATTGTAGCGTATCATTGTCTTTCTAAATGAGAATGATTTTGGTTCATGAAACTTCATGGCTGCTGTCTGAACACATGCAACTTATTATGAAGTTATATGATTTAGGTCGTCGCCCGAGAAATAATCTAAAATATTGAGGAATGTTCTGGGAGGCTTCATCTAATTTAGAGACCAAATTATTGACATAATTTTAAAAAAGTGTAAGAATTTTAGTCAATATTAGATGAATTTAATGGGCAAACACACAATAAAAAGAACTAATAAAAGAAAATTTCTTTATTAATTCAATCAAAATATGTTCGATTACAGAAAACAACTGAATGAACAATCTTGATTGAAATAGTAATTTCTTCCTAAAACTAATCTAAAATTATTCTTATAATTTTCTAAGTTTTGGGGTAGTTTGAATGCATATTCATCTTCTCTATTACATATATTTTTATAGTTATTATCTTTGGCGATTTTGTCTCCATGAACGGTTATTTGATTGATAACTTTAACGTCTAGTTAGTTATTTTTTTTTTTTGAGATGAGTTTGTGATTGATCACTTTTTGTCTATTTTCAAATTCTATCACATGACATATTCTTAATACACTTAAATTTATCAAATATTAGTATATTGAACATTACTAAGATTTTATATTTTAAATACAAACAGGTTCCAAATTAAATATAAATAACATTTTTCTTTAATTTGACATCACCTGTCCCCTCCCCCCCCCCCCCCCCCCCCCCCTTCTTCTCTCTCTCTCTCTCTCTCTCTCTCTCTCACACGCACACACACACACACAGGCATATAGTAGGCAAATATTGACCTTGCATTTCCATCTACCAACTATTGGATACATGAAGGGGAGGGGAAGTCATGCTTTTTACAGCAAAAGTGGCATGTTTGACGATACTAATTAATGTGGTTCATTTGTGATTCCATCGACCTGTCGTCAGCCTGCCTCCGATCTCTGTGAGTCTCTGAAATTCATTAAAATTGTACCAGTTTTTTTCTCTCAACCTAAATATTGTTGAATATATGCATCATATTCTTAAGAATAAAAGGCTTTATTTTCTTTTTTGTTTTTTTTAGTAAAAAGTAAAGAGAATAAGAACACGACAAAGTAGTTCTCATGGCTAATAGGATAACAGAAAAATCCAAAACCATCAACGATTAGGCTGTACACCTTTCAGAATTCAGAGGGACATCAACCTGGATTGGAACATCATCTCCTTTCCAGCTTGAAAAATGAATGAATACATCGTAAAAAAATATTTTGCGCTCATCCGGGTGTCCATTACTCATAAAATATTGTATATTCACAATCAATTAAAGTCTCTGTTAACAGATATTTTTTTTTTTTGGTTGAAAAAATCAACTTTTGGGTCGACAAACAAGTGTTATGACCATTTTTTATTAAATATAGATACCATATAATAGTAAAAATCACAAAATATTTTTTCATAAAAAGCCAGGTCTCTTCTAAAAGCTGGCAGCCATGGTCTCGTGTTTCGTCTCCTTTAGCTGGCTTATATAGCTTTCACTTTTTTCCCCTAAAGTGACAACAAAAAATCTAATTAATGGGTCTTTCATGGTACCATTATATATTATCCAAAGGTGAAATAATTACGTGCTGCTTGCATGTCATCTCTCCGGAGGATTCATCAAGGTCATCACTCATCATCATTACTACTACTAGAGGCCGAGCCAGGTTTCCACCGGAGGGGTTAAAAACTATTAATAAAAAAATAATTAGAAGCATTTATAAATTTAAAACAAATTGAAGAGGGGTAATGTATTCTTATGTTAGATAAAGTTTGTTGATCTCGCACTATGTATATAAAGTCAAATTCAAATGTTAATGAGCCAAGTGGCGCAACTATAAGTGTAGCTTCGTCCCTAATCATTTCCATCGTCTACCTTGCGTGAACACACACACAAAAAACAGAGCCTTTTTTCTTTAGAAGAAGACCATTAGAGAGCTACTTCCTACTTTTTTATTTTTTGGTAAGGAGGAACTTTTATAAATGGGGCCACTTTAAACCCTCTTTGTCAGAATAAATTTTGAATCGAATATCTATAATCACTTATAAATTACAAGTATTAGTTAAGTGTGGGAGACACTAGCGAGAGTCGAATTATTGACTTTGGATTTGTAATTCGTTTAGGTTATTAGTTTTACACAACGGATAATAAACATTAATACCATAAGTTAGAAAATAAGAATTTAAGAGAGAAAAACTAATAAAATAAAACAAAGATATAGTATGATTTAATACAATGAATTCACCTTGATATATCGCACATACATTAACAGATTAAAAATCTATATCAATATATTATTCACTAAAAAATTGATAATATCGTAATTGATTAGATATATTCAACCCTAGTTACTTCTTTCCTATTTGATGTAAAATTTTCAAATTTGGTGTCCCAACACATGTCCAACCCCACGTCACTATATTCTTTTCACATTATGCAATGTACCCTTTAGTGCACACAGCATATATCTCTTCCCTTCAGTGGTGTCAAAGATAATGAATCAAACACGGAAATACAAAGCAATGTGCCGGGCGGCTCAAGTCAATTTAGGGTTTAAAACGAAAATATTGAATAATTTTTTTTTTATTTTTAGTATTATTTTTTTAAAAAAATTAATTTATTTTTATTTTTTTATATCAAAGAAAGGCAAAAGAAATGTGTTAATGTCAAAATAAATAGAAAATGTTTAATTTTAACTTTTGTTTTTATTTTTTTTTATTAGAGAGAGAGAGAGGATGTAAATAAATATGAGTTGACTTTCAAGTATTTTTTTTAATTTCTAAGTTTTTAATGTTATGAATTTAATTATAGGCCTAAATTATTGTAATAAAAATTTTGATTGAATTTAATTTTTTGAGACTTTTTATAGAGCTTAAAATTTAATATATTTAATTTTTTTGGTGGGCTAATAATATATTTAAAAAGTATGAGATTTTCTAAAAATTTAAGGTCTAAAATCAATATATTTTTTTTCATACTGTTGAGCCGCCCGGCAAAATGTGATGCATTTTTTGAGTGACGTAAATCTTCAAAGACGCCAAAATGAATTAAAATACAAAGACATTGATTTGTCAGTATTCTGGCCTAGATAAGTGTGGTGGCTGTCCACTGATAATTAGGGATCATCAAATGCCTATTGTTTTTGAGGAAAAAAAAAATGAAAAAGAATAGACATTCACTTTTGTTTTGTGATTTAAGATTAATTAATTTGGTATAAAATAAATAAACGATGAAACGAAATGAGACAATGAATTATATTATAATATTTTTATTTATTTAAGAGGGCAATATAAATAAAATTAATTACTCTAAAGATAAATTGAAAATTTTTATATTTTTTAGGGGACATAATAAAATTTTCCTCGGGACTTACAGATTTCATTATTGCGTCACATCCAACTTGCTACAAGAACTAGCTTAGAATACCAAAATGGTGTACACAATGAACAAGAACATTCAGAGAAAGATAAACTCAAGACACACACGCCCATAAAAAACTTGGGGTTTCAGCTCAAACAAGCTTCTTCTTGAATTGTGCACAGAAGGTGGTTAACAGCATCAGCAATTTCATCTACTGTAGTCAGTAGGCACCCATCTTGAAGCTGTCTCAAATTATACAAGAACAACAATGGTAATTCATATGAGTATATTTTTTTTTAAAAAAAAAGGTATAATTGAGAGAATTTGATCAACTAACCTTAACATTGAGTGAGTACAAAACCTTTTGATCCATCGTTGTAACGTTGAGGTGGAGAATAGTGAGGCAGAGACATTGAAGCCCAGTCACTAACTTTAAGAGCTGCTTGGGTCTTCTCTTTGAGAGTATCTTGAGGTTAGCATGGCTCTCCACCAAGATCACTTCAATGTCAGCTAAAGCCGGCCGGTTCTCCACCAATTGCTTATCGGCCACCGTAGATGAATGGTTCCGGTGATGTCGTGTTGAGTACTGTGGGAAGGTAAAGAAATCGGCAAAAATTGAAGAGACACCATTGTTGGGTTGCTGAGAAATTTGCTTTTGGGCCTCTAGGGTTTGAAGTTTCTGCTCGAGCTCCTTGACAAAATTAATGGCTCCCCCGATTATTGATGCTTGGTCACTCTAACATGAAAATTCCCAATTAGTTTTCCCCCCCGGAAAGTAAGTAGAAAAAATGGGGAAAAAATAGCATATAATAAAGTTATAACTACATTACTTATTAATATATAAATAATATTTTTTTAAAAAAACTTCAAAAATAGGAAGATAAATTTTATTTTAAAAAATAGTGTATATTTGAACAAATAAAAGTTTAAAAATCTTATTAAAGAATACCCTAATTTTTAAACATTATTTACAAGTTTTTGTTTTCAACTATTAAAATTAGTCAGATAACTTGAAAATCCAACTTGTAAAGACAGATTGTTTACTGGAAACTAAAACTCAAAGGGGGTATCTAACCCTTTGAACATAAGAGTCCGGCAGCAGAGATCGAATAACGGCGAGGTACTGGTTCATCTGCTTGCGACGGTTGCGCTCAACTGCAATGTGAGTCATCCTCTGGTTCTCCAATTCTTCTTTGTTCTTGCAAGTTTTGGTTCGACGCCTCTTCCGCCGACCTGAAGTCATCACCATCCCTTCCATCACCGGCGACCGCCGCGACCCGTCCCCAAATAGCGGATCACCAGTGCAAGCCTCAGGCGAAGTGTTCTGCATCATTGAAGATGATGAGTAGTCCCAGTAATTTACTGGTACACCTTGTTCAATATTGTTGGGTGTGATTCCAGCAAGATCATCGTCTTCTTCTTGGAAACCAAAGTCATAAACCCAACCAGAAGCTCCACCCATTGTTGACAACTCTTTGGGTCCATAAACAAAGGAGTCTCGGGAGTAAACCACTGTGTCTAACGCCATTTGTTCCTATTCAACTTCTCTCTCTCTCTTAACATTCACCTTTGTTGTTGTAAACTTATATGTGTGCTCTCCTACTTTATTTCCCTCCCTGGTTGACAAACAAAGTTTTGGGAGAGGTAGGGTTTACAGCTACATGCTAAGAAAAGCTGCTTAAAAGACCCCAGAAAGAGAAGAAGAAGAGGAGGAAGGTTGTTAAAGGCTGATCACTATTTCCTCCAATGAAAACTCAGGTCTAAAACGAAAGGTTCAAATATAAGCCCAGAACACCAAGCAAACTTGCCTTTTTATCCGCAACTGGTGTTAGTATGGTTGACCTCTTAAAGTATAATTAATCACCTTAATCAAACATAGCTACAGCGTGTTTGCACGTGATATATGTAGTAAAGTTACCTCACTTGTTGCTCGTTAAATAGTGTTATTTGGAGTTGATATAATTTGCCGACCAAATTAATTAGAGAGAGAGAGAGAGAGAGTGAGTATTTTCTCGGTGTTGAATTTTGAGCAGTGATGACATATGACTTAGAACGTTCATTCATAACTGTTGGATTGAGAGTAAGTCTTAATATTTTTTAAGGTTAATTATTAATTTAATAATTATAATAAATTAAATTAGTAAATTAACGATTTACTAGGTTAGTATCAGATATTAATAGCATAATTCTACATCACGAACCCTTCTAACTACTGCACGAAAAAATATTTGATTTTATATTTTTTTAAGCTTTTCAATGGATAGTATTCCAGGGATTATCGTAAAATGAAAAAGATTTTGGTTTGGTTTTGTTGAGATGTAGTTCAATAAGATTTGTAATTTATAAAGACCTTTTATATGGTGGATTAGATTAAGTGAAAAACTGGTTATATTCTTCAGATTTTTAACTAGTTATACTTGTCGATACAAACATGACTTCATATAACTTTGTTTTTTTTTTTTTTTGGGCATAAGTAAGGTTGGTTTAAATTATTAATTAAATGCTCCATATACAAAATATACCTTGGTTTAAATTATTAATTAAAAGCTCCATATACAAAATATACCCCATATATAATAATAAATACCCAAATCAAGAAACAAAAGAAAAGGGGACAAAGAAGATAGATGATCCTCTGATCTACATTAGAAGAGCATCCTTCCCTAAAACAAAAAGCATCTGCATAAAATAACACAAGAGAAGATCTTGATACGCTTGAGTTCAATCACACCCGTGCGTTTATTCGAATATTAAATTCGTTTGCTAAATGGTTTTTAAAGTTGTACAAATTTGAATATTTGTTTTGTTCATAAATGAGTACTTCTTGTGCCTTCTAAGTTGCATATGGTCGTTAGTGAATATCCGGAATAGTCATCTTTGAATCTTTAAATTTACACAAACTTCATCTACATTATGACTTACAAATTTTTCTCATTACATTATACATTACATTCATAGTCCGTCATTTGAGTGTATTCATTGGAGCATAAAAACCTTAGTTATTGATTTCATCAGATACACAGATTGCAATGTTTTTTTATGCAAGTGTCAGATCATTGCGTCTTCGAAGAGAGACACTCAAAAGAATCATAAAGCTCAAGTGTAGGGGCAAAATTTAGTTTCAATACACAGTGACACTAATCTTTGACCTATTCTTGTTCTGCATTTAAACCAATTTATTAATTATAATTTATTGGATTATCCATTTAATTCTTAAAACCTCAATGAATATATATATAATTGACAAATTATTTGATTAGGAAACAAAATGACATAGATTGAATATTTTAAAGACAAAATTAAAAAAAAAAAGAACTAAAATAACAAAAAAAATACATTCTTTACAAATCAAAAATATTATTAACCCAATATATTATATATTCTTGCAACACAACTTCTTGTAGATTCACAAAAAGCAGCAAAATAAATGTGGGACCTTGGGAAAGACTTATGCCCGATGAGGACAATATGACTGTTGTGGGTATGGGCACTATACAATAAAATTCATGAACAAGCCACACCTCACATGCAAGGAACAGTCATATCCTTCAGCAGCTTTATTCTCTATCGAATAAGTTAAAAGGGTAATTACGTCGCTATAATGTATTTATATGAAGTACGACCTTTGTTTGAATTAATTAACAATTTTTGTCAATTTTAAAATTAAATTATTAAATTACAACAAATTTTAAACTTATTAACTATCAAAATACTGCACTTATAAAAAAGTGGGGTCATTAATTTTGCTATTAATCTTTGGTTGAAGATGCAAAATGATGATTTTTTTTATAGGATGTCTAAGTTTATACCGATTATTTTTTCGAGTTCAATGACCGACCACCATGGCCAAAAAGAAAGCGTTAGGCCTAATGAGTTCATTCTTAAAAACAAGGATGTTGACACTGCATTTTAATAAAAGTAGAGCCAAATAACCCCACTTTTAAAAAAATACTATAATTTGATAATTTTATTTTAAATTGTCAAACGTTATTCCTAATTTACCTTTGTTTCGTATCAAAAAGAAATGTTTTTAGTCTTTTTTTGGTTCAATGGTTTGAGTGTTCGGGTTATTTTACGCATATTTCGATTAATCTCTTTATTGGTTCAATTAAAGATAGACTATTTATATCACAATTAGAGTATTCATGAAGAATAATTTCTCACATCCTAATCCCAAAGAGCTGTCAAGATTTAAACTTAAAATACTTGAATTTATAATTAATTTTTGTTATCACTTGATCTATTCTTTATAGTTAAAGAGAATAGATTCTTTGTCGACAACATGTAAATAAATTATTTATAGACAGTTAATCAAAATTGAAGAGATATACAAAGGGAATCCTCAAAATTAATTGATTGCATGCAAACAAATGTTTCCTATAATTTCACTTGGTAATAAGTTGGTCGGACATTACTTGCCCCCAAAAACAAAAATTACAGTTGGTCGGACACTGACACAGAAGAACGGAGATTAAGACAAAAAGTTGCTCTAGCAGAAGAGATTCTAGTCAGATTTGGAGACCATGATTGCTACATTGTTTGACTGTAACATTCATGCAACCTTTACTAAACTCCAAGCAATTAATCTGTTACAATAGTATGTGAAATTAACAAATCATGCGACCATAGAGTTTGGTGGTCCAGTGAGATACGGTTCAAATTTTTTTACCTTGAGATTGAAGATTTGAATTTTAGAATTCAGATTAAAATTTAGTTGTTGACCGTTATACTAGTTTAACTACATTCGTTTTTAAGAGAAATAAAAAGAATGATCAAGAGTTTCATAATTCCACCAATGAGAGTTTATCGAAATAATCTTTGGACGTTCTTTTTTATCCTCATCTCTTTTTTATCAACAAAAAAAAAAAACAAATCATACGAGATTGACGACATGAAATTGTGGCACTTCTATTTGCAGATCATATTTTGGCAAAATTTGAAGTATTTAAAAGGATTGTGCACCACTCTTTTTACGGAATTCAATTGTGTTTCTCGATTCTATAATATTACTTAATTTTAAAATTGTATTGCTACGCTGCAATAGATGTTGGTTAAGGCCGTCAAAATGGGACTACAGCTGCTTTGATTCCAGTTTCTTGCTCGTGAATCACATAAGAAAAAAAGCTTCTGATTTCTAATTAAAAGATTTCATAGACACAATACTTGGAAAAAATGATGGGTAAATTGTAAGGGATACACCAAATTAAATTTATTTGGCAAAAAATACACACTAAAAAAATGTAGGGTTATTAATTCCTTAATTTTGATACATATTTGTATCTAACTACATAATTTGAATTTGTCTAATTTTTTTGTGACATTTTTATTCTCCATTGATCCATGTGTATGTTCTTTGGAAAATGGTGCATTAAATATCTCTTAGTTTTATGAGAGAATTTTAGTATTTAATGTACCTTAATTTATGTGTATTTGTTAATATATGTATTTATATATATATATAATGTAACTTTGAAAGTGTAAAGTGTAATATTGAAAATGTAAAGTGTAAAATATTATCTTATGTCTCACATTTCTTAATGGAAAGTGTAAAGTGTTATAGGGTAGTATTGAAAGTAACAATAATAGTGTAACAATAATAATGTAACAAACTATTTACACAAGGTAAGGGGAGACATTACTTAAAGTGTTACACAAACAGAATATACACGTCTCATCTTATACTAAAAATGCTAATTAATTGAGAAAGTGTAAAAGTGTTATACTTTCAATATTAACATGTAACATTTTACACTTTTCATTAAGTAATGTGAGACATAAGATAATATTTTACACTTTCAATGTTACACTTTACACATATATACATACTTGTATATATATATATATATATATATATATTAACAAATACACATGAATCAATGTGCATTAAATATTAAAGTTCTTCCATAAAATTAGGAGATATTTAATGCACCACTTTTTCTAAAATCGGCATTTATGTATTTGTATCTAACTAGTATATTTTTTTTCAAAATATTTTTTAATATGTACTTTTTGACAAATAAATTTAATTAGGTGTATTGGCTTCCAAAAATCCCAAAAAAATTAGAGTGGTGTTTTTCTTTGAGAGAGGGATACAATGCCACGATAACCGATCAGCCAACCAGTCAACGGTTCGTGCCAGCGCGTGTGGTCTGGGCCAAACCATCCTGACGGCCAAATAAGCAGCCCTTGAACTGTTCGTTGAACCGGTTCTAATGGGACTTAATCTTTTCAGTTTTTACTCAAATTAAAAGGAAGGGTCAATTTTGGAAGACTAATGGGCGGGGGCTGAGATGAGCCCAAATATTTTTAATTTCCAATCGGGCCGCCAGACCAGGAAACTGCGACCGAGCCGATACCCAATCTTAAACCGTTTGAAACAAACGAATGCCTCTTGGCTTCACTGCCAGTAAGACTGATAATCGAGTGGAGGTATTCAAATTCGGCTTATTTCGGGTTTAACTTGAATCTAATTTGAATAATATTGCTCATTTGAGAAAATAAGCCTGTAAAATAGTCGAGCTATTCGGATTCGATTCATTTTAAACATGAGCCAAATTTAAACAATTTTTTAGACTTTAAAAAAAACAAAACGAACTAATAAAACTCGACTCGATCATTAACCTTACTACTGAGCCTGAGTGGAAACAACCCTATTAATTATCTTTGCATCAATAAGGGTTACTTGGCAATACAACCAAAATTTTTTATAGACAGGAATGTATTGGAGCCACACATCAGATTCATCTATTGAATTGG